TGGTTGTATCATTTACATACAATGGCACAAACTATCTGACCAAGATGTTCTAGAAACTTCAAATCGAAAATCCCATTGAATGGTTGATTCAAATGAGAAAAATTATAAAAATTATATATAGATTCTCAGAGATCAATGCTAAGAATTTAAAATTAAGAGTATTGTTACAATAATTGTTCATTTCTATAATTTTATCTTATTATTTGATATGAATAACCAATTAGTGTATTACTTAGGGTATCAATTGATGATGTAATATAATTTAAGAGGTTTTTGGCATAATTTAAGAGGTTTTGTTTTTTACAATTTGTATAATGAGTGAGGTCAATAATGATATCATAACTAGTGTTGGTATACTAGTTAGCAAACTCATTGATGCATGTAGTACCACCGATTTGATATATATGTCCAATTGTAGCACTGTAGGTGGTAAGCGTGCAGTACAAAAAAATTAAGATTTTAGGGACTAAAATTTAAGGACAAAATTATTTTTTAGGGACCAAATAATTTTGTTGCAAAAAGTTTCGTCATTATATTTTTAGCAATAAAAATTGGACATTAACGATGAATTATTATCCTTTTGGGACCAAATTTTTTGTCTCAAAAAATAAGTCATTTTGAAACCTAATTATTTTATCCCTAAAAGTCTATTTATTAGTGACATTTTCAAAATTTTGTTGCTAAATGCCTTATTTTTTACTTTTTTGAGACGATCTTTTAGTGACTATCCTCATAACGACGGAAATTGATATAGTCTCCCTTAAATTATTAATAGCAAAATTTAGAAGAAAAGTATACTACAGTGACAAAATAAGGTTCTGCGCGGAAAAATTTGAATTTGTTTTTTCAGTTTGTTGACCAAAGATCATTCTTCCCGTTTATTTTATATGTTACAATGTTTTTAGGTAAACTTGTCTCTTGGAGGTTTCAAAATGTGGTATTGAATCAAAAGTAAGGAGTTCAATGCAATCACACAAAAGACCAGATGACATGATTTTTTGAAATTTGAAATTTGTATGATGTAAATGACAGTCATAATGAAATGTATTTTTCTAAATATATAATTGTTATTTCAACACATTAATCCCTTTGTCTTTGCATTTTTCTAACAGAAAACTATAGATATATTTTGATTCTTGAAAACATAAACAAAAAACTTGTTTGGTTCTAATTTTTTGAATTCAATTTTCTGAAAATTGATTTTTTTTTTAATTTTTTGTATTTTTATTTTTAGTAAATGTTTTTAATATTTTAACCATTTTATTAACTTTTTAGTACATTTAATATAAATATAATTAAAAAGTATAATATTTGTGAAAAAAAATCTATAAAAAATATACTAAATATCAAAATATAAAAAAAATATGAAATTTAATACATTTTTGTATTTTGTGTATTTATTAATTTTTTTAAATATTTTTTTATAAATATATTACTTTTTAAATACATCTAGGTTAGGTGCATTTAAAAAGTAAAAATTTTGCTTAAAATATTAGAAAAAAATTACTAAAAATAAAAAATATATAAAAAGTAAAAAAAATTAATTTTTAGATAATTAAATTCAGAAAAATAGAATCAAACAAGTTAAATAATTGTTGGTCAAGCCAACTCTGTGTCACCAGTTGCGTAGTATTAATTTGTATCCATATGCATGATGTATAGTATGATATCTTCCCAAGCTGAAACAATTAACGCCAGGTCAAATACAACCCAAGTCAGAAATCGCTTCAGACTACATAAATGCCTCCTCTTCAAAATTCTTACCAATATTTTTTGGAGTATATTAATAATTCTCTAATAAGTGATCTGTAATATTAATTTACTTAAAACTATATAAAAATATTATCAGATTATACTTATCTTAATTTTTATTTTTTATTTTTTTTTATCTTGTTAACGAGTTTTGTGGACTATAGTTAGCCTCCGTTTGGGAAGTGGGTTGGCTTTTTGGCTTTTTGGCTTTTTTGGCTATTTTAGCCTGGGCTAAAAAGTTTGGTTTGGGAAGGGCTTTTTGGCTTTTTGGCTTTTTTGACTTTTTTTGTGAGAGAAGAATGTAATGATTATGGGTTGGATGTGATATTTTGTTTTTTGTGGCTAAAATAGCCTATTTTGTTTTTTGTGGCTAAAATAGCCAAAAAAGCTCCGTTTAGCTCTTGCCAAACGGAGGCTTAATAGAAGAATTATAATTCACATAAGCCATCGTTCCATGACCTCACCATTTTACCAATGCAAATATGAATGAAAGAACATACTTTTCTTGTTCTTGACATTTGATTTCTAGGGAGATCAACTTTGTTGACTTGATTGATGAATGAAAAGTTCCTTAAGTTTTCTAAACTAATTGAAGTTTTGTTTTGTTATGTTTTTTATTTTGGGCCTGGCTTTTCCCTTCTCCCAGATCAAATTGAAGGGTGTTGTTGGGCCCGTGGGGACCTGTCACGTGACCCATTTCAATAATCCAAACTGTCAATGTGTAGAACTCGTCAAGTACTATACGCCTATAAAAAATCACATTAATCGGATATCGATAGTTACGTGATCAAATTAGTTTTGTATAAAAAATTAAAAAAAAAATCTCATTAATCGGATATTGATAGTTACGTGATGAAATTAGTTTTGTATAAAAAATTAAAAAGAAATAGGCAGTGAAAAAATAAAGGGTTGACAGAAAACTGATCCGATGAAATAGTTATTAATATCTGATCAACGTGATGTTTTAAAGACATATAGTACTCGACGAGTTTTACACATTGAACAGTTCAGATTATTGAAACGGGACCTGTGATGGACCCCAACAGGCCCAACAATACCCTCCAGTCCGATCTGAGACTAGAGGGAAGCCGGTGCAATTATTTTTATTTTATTATCACTATTATTTTATTTGTAAGAAACTCAAATTGGACATTGTCTCCAATTTGTTAAAAAATTGACCTGCTCATTCTAAACTTGGATCAATTCCCCTAAAAAATTATCAAAGCTAATGATCAAAATAAGTCATGTGATGGTTCGACAAAAGAGGATTGCGTAGATCTAGTTTTTAACAAATTGGAAACAAGCTAGAAAATTCAAAATGCTTGTTTAGCTAATTATTTTCGAAAATTGCATTTTGAAAAAATCTCAAAGGTCACTTTTCAAAAATATAAAAAAAGTTGTTTTTGAATTTTTAAAAATTGCTTTTGCAAAAATAAATGAGAACTATAGAAAAATGATGAGTGTTGGCTCTCATTTTCTTTAATTATTTTTGTTTTAAAAAATACCAAATGAAAAACAAAGTAAGCAAAGGTACAACCATTTATTTATTTGGGTTTTTTACTGGTCGGTCCTACTTTTTACACTTATTCCCCTCTTAGTCCTGAGTTTGCTCTTGTGCACCAATAGGTCCTGAGCCTTTTTTTTTTGTACCATTTTACCCCTCCCTTGTTTTGGCGCGTTTCTGTTTGGATTTTTTATCAAAATATTGTGTTGTGAGTATGGGTTTGTGATTTGGATTTCTGTGGAACTTCACGATTTGCTAATGTATTATTGTGGAGCTTTGTAATTTGTGATTTCGCGCTTGGTGTATCTTCGCGATTTGTGATTTGCGCTTGCGTGCTTGGTGAATCTTCCTATTTGTGATTTCGTGTTTGGTGTATAGTTACATTTTTTGATTTGCGATATTGTGGAGTTAGGTCGACTGGTATGTTTGATTTTGATTTCAATTTCAATGTTTTGGTTCTTTTTAGTTTGAGTTGGTGATTTTGATTTTGTGGTGATATTGTTGTTACTCTGTTATTTCTGTTGCGATTGAATTTGTGTTTTGATCATGATATTGAAAGTTTTGAGATATGTATATGTAATGAATTTTAGATTTTTTTTTTTTTTGGTTACGAAATTGTTTTGATCGAACACAGGTGCTGGTTTGTTATTTTGGGGGTGTTGTTGGATTAACTTTTTTAACAGTGATGAATTTATCAGTGAGTATGGGAATAGGAGATGAAAATGTTGCATAATGTAATGGTAAGATTCAAATCGAGTTATCATGTCTAATAAGTGTGAGCCTTATTCACTGTTCTTCGTCTATGGTGGTGTTAATTGTTAAAGTTATCAGTGTTGATTTTTGTATGTGTTTGAGTTGGTTGATAATTTTATCACTGTATTTGATTTTGTTTTAGGGTGTTTGAGTTGTTTGCTGAAATATAATTGTTGTTTGTTGCAAGATTTATAATGATGGAGAATTGTTTGTTTCTTATGTGCAAGTTTAGAGGTGTGACATTGGTTATCAAGTATAATGATGGATTTAATTTCAAGGATTTAATATAGAAATTGTGTGCAAAGTGGAGTGAGTTAGTTGGTAGTTCTTTGAATATATCGTATTCAATGCCTGGACATTCTTGTTGTGGTCTACAAAGTGAAGAGGATTTGGAGGTTATGGTTGGACTGGCACTTTCTTGTGATATTCATCGTATTGATGTTTTTGTAAAATGTTGTTCTTTAGGTGAAGGTTATATGATTTGTGATGGTGAAGCTAGTAGTAGTAGTAGTAGTGTTGTTTGTGAAACTGATTTTTTGCCTTCATTTTATTCAAATCAACGGAAACCTTTGCTCTCCGATTGGTGGGTTAATTGTATGAAAGGAATGGGACAAAGGTTTGCTCAAGGAATTGTTGAATTTCGAGATGCGTTGTCAAAATATTCTATTCATTCCGGTTTTGATTTTGATTTATTAAGAATGATAAGGATCGTGTCACTGTTCATTGTAAGAGAATGACTAATTTGGGATGTTTGTGGAGCATGCATGCTAGAGTGGAAAATTATAGTAAAGCTTTTGTTATTAAACAATTTGATGATATTCATACTTATGGATCTTCTTTTCGTACAATTAAACATGCTAGGATGACTTCAAGTATGATTGGTGGGCTAATTTCAAGTGATATTCGTAATAAGGCTTTGACATCAGTTAATGAGGTGGTTTGTGATTTCAAGGACTATTATGGAACATAAGTTTCTTATCGGCTAGCTTGGATGGGTGTTGAAAAAGCAAGGGGTCTTGTTTTTGGTGACTATTCATCATCATTTGATGATCATCGTTGGTATGTTGATGCCACTAATGATTGTAATCCAGGGAGTGTTTTTGATATGGAATTTGATGTTGATAGTAAAGGAAGACATTTCAAATGCTTGTTTTTCGCTTTTGAGGCATATATTCATGGTTTCAAGTATTGTCGGCCTGTGTTGATGCTTGATGGAACTTTCTTGAAAGGAAGACACAAAGGTTGTTTATTGGTTGCTACGACAAAAGATGATAACCAAGGTATATTCTGTGTCTATTTGTTGTTATTATTAAAACAGTGATAATTCTATCATTTTTGTTACTGGAGAGTGTTAATTATTGAGTATGGTCAATCTATTAGTGATAAATTTATGCTGTATACTTTTGTTAAATTTTTATATTTATACAGTGATAAATTTATCTATGGCTGGTGTTATATGTTATATACTTTGTGTTTTGATTTTCTTTTTGTAATTTTTTTTATTTGTTATTGATAATGTGTATATATATTTTGTTTGTAGGTTTATATTCGTTATGTTTTGCAATTGTTGATAGTGAAAGTTATAACAGTTGGCATTGGTTATTGTCAGAGTTATTAGTTATTTTGACTCCGGAGAGGGATATTGCGTTTGTTACTGATTGACATGGAGGTTTGCTGAAAGCTTTAGCTGTGGTCTTTCTGTTTTCTTCTCATTCTTTTTGTCTAATGCATTTGAAGACAAACTTGAAGACATATTTGTCAGTGAAGAGTCGTAAATCTAAAGAGTATTTGATTACTCTTTTTAGTAGATGTGCATATACTCCTACTACTGAGTTGTTTAATGAGCTATTTGAAGAATTTAAGGGTCGTTGTGGTCGTAGTGTTGAAAAGTTTCTTGAGGATTTGCCTAATGAGTGTTGGTGTAATGCTCATTTTCAAGGCAAGAGGTATGGTGAAATGTGCACAAATACTGCGGAATCTTTTAATTCATGGATAAGGGATGAACGCCATTTGTTTTCAACTAGTCTTGTTGATGTTATACGGGTGAAACTAATAGAGCAATTTTCAAGAAGGAGCGAAGTTAGGAATAAATGGAATCGTATTGTTTGTCCTTTTGCAGAAAAAAAGTTGGAAGAAGCTTTTAATGATACAAAAGCATGGATAGTTAAGAAATGTAGCGATGACATTTATGAAATCCAATTGGATCATTCAGTTATGGTTGATATTGGGAAACATTCAGTTATGGATCATTCATTTATGAAATCCAAACATGGTTTTTGTGCTATAAAGAGGAGTGAGAAGGATCTGAATTGTTTTCTTGATGATTACTATCGTGTTAGTAGTTATTGTGATTCTTATTCACATTCTATCTATCCAGCTCTTAGTATGTGAAAGCCAAATGCAGTTGTTGATAATGACGTTGTTTTACCTCCTCTTTGTAAGAGACCAGCTGGACGTCCAAGAATAGAGAGAATACCTTTTAAGAGCAAAATCAAGAGAATTAGGTGTAGTAGGTATGGAAAGATGAGAACTCATAATCGGAAGACACGTAAAGAAACTTTGCTTTAGTTGTATTGATTTTAATTGAATTACTTTGTTGAGAGTTGAGAAGTGTTACTTGCATTGAATGATTGAGTATCTTTTGAAAGATGCATCATTTTGGTGCTTGCATTGAATGATTGAGGAATTTGTTGAACAGAAATTATATTTTTTGCTGATATTTCTACAAGATTAAGTTTCACAGATTTATATTATTTTATTTGGGTTAAATGTAGTTGCTGTTTTTGGTGTTTTATACAGTGATAAATTTATCACTGGTTGGTTTGGACAAGTTGGTGGATTATTTTTTTTGTAAGAATGATAAATTTACCATTGTCTGAAGGAAGCAATCAAGCATTAATGGGGTTCCTAAATTTTGTAATTTTCAAGAATGATAAATTTATCATTGATTGTATGGGAAGAGTTGACGGTTTATTACATTTATGTTAGTGGTTGATAAATTTATCACTGTCATATCCAAGCAAATGTTTTTTTTTACAGTGATAAATTCATCACTGGCTTAAACTCAACAAAAATCAATTGATGTCACTAGTTATACATGTTTTTAGTTTTTCTGTGCCTTGATTAATTCAAACAAGAATACTTCCTTGCTTGTTAGATAATGCATCCCTCAGAAACACAAATAATTTGTGCACTGAATTTATAATGACATATGCTAAACCTCTTTCTAATTTTTTTCTCTTCACACTGTACCTTATTTGCTCTTGGTTGATTGCTGATAAAAGGAGAAGAAAGAAAATGAGTATATATATATATATATATATGTACACATATATCCTTTTTTGGTCTTTTGTTGTTTCTGAGTGATTTTATATAGTGGATGTCTTTTATGAGATTCCAAATAACAGTAGATTTGAGATTCAAAGTTTGAATATGGTTTTTCCTATAAGTCTTTCAGCATTCAAAGGAGTAGATCTTTGTATATTACTTAGTTATAGGAAGCATTTTTTGTTTGGAGTTATCTAATTTTCCCAAGAAAAATTTTCACAATACAAAGCTGTAGATCAAATCTCTAGAATACATAATTGCACATCTGTTGTGTTAATTGCTTGGCAAAGCAAAAAAAATTAGATCAACTACCATGTTTATTTGGTTTAGCAACAAGTTCTCAGTCTACATACTGTTTTGTGGTCACTCAGAAGCAAGCTTTGGATGTTTGAGTTGTTTAATTGAAGTATCAAATGGTTTTGATTATTTAGAAATCACCAAAGATGACATGTTCTTACATTCATTCTCAAACTTAGGAATATCTATAAATTGTAACAGTATTTTAATTTCCAATTTGGACAATGTAATAGTGTTTGTGTTTTAATTTTTAATTTTGGTAAATTTTTTATTATTTTTTATAATGTTTTGTTTGCTTGAATTGGGAAAAAAGAATGAGAGAGAGAGAGAGAGAGAGAGAGAGAGAGAGAGAGAGAGAGTTGTTGGTTTTTTTGTTTGAACAGTGGTAAATTTATCGGTGTTCACAATGATAAATTTGTTGAAACAGTGATAAATTTATCAGTGTAAACAAAACACTATAAAAAAAATAAATTTATCAGTATAGTGACTCCAAACCTGTTGTTAACCTTTACATTCGATACAAATAATCAGATTAGAATCAATATTTTGAATGAAATTTGCGTAACAAGACTGATATCAAAAGCCAAATCTGGTAACAATATGGCTAAAAAAGACTGAATGTTTCATTGAAGCAAATTTGACATTGTAACAACCAAGCACTGTCCATAACTTTGACATTGTAACAACCAAGCATTGTAATATTCATTGGAGCAAAGTAAGAACCAAAATCATCAAACTACAGGTAACACTGTAACAACCAAACAAGAAAAATGTATGAAGTCATCAATGTTCCAAATCTGTTGATTACTGTAGAGGCAAGTCATTAACGTTTTCATCAACTATTTGTTGTTGAGCAGCTTGTTGGTTAGTCAAGAAGATAGTTAACATATCAGCTCTCAATTGATTGCATTTTTCCTTGGAAAAAGTAAGCATTATGTTGTTTTTGGAAACATATTGTCTCATGATATAGCAAACAATGATTCCACAATCAAGTCTGCAAAAATATTTTGAAATCAAAATATTATAATTTGGTTTCGTTGCTTTTTTTATTTTTTATTTTTTATAACATTGTTTTGTTATTGATAAACTTACGATGTGTCTTGTTGTGGACTGTTGATGACGCTCTCTATCTCCTATTAAAATTTATCAAGGTTGATGAGAGTTGGCTTCTCATCCTTTATGTACTTGTCAATAATCTCTCTCTACAACATATACATTTGTATAATTGTTCTATTAGAAAGTCAGTTGAAACAATTAATGAGAAACCATGGATTTAAAGAATGATAAATATATTACTGTATAAATTTTTGATGTATAATTGAGCATGGATCAGGATTGATGTATTGGATGAATGGTAAGTTTGATAGTGAAAACATTTTTACCACTTCATTTGCTGTATTGAAGTGTGGATCTTTAGACGTTGCTCCCCTTGGTCTCATGGAATTATAGAATTTCCATGAACCTTCTTCAATGTCAAGGACAAGTATTGTCCAATGAAAATTTTGGTGGATTGGGAAGAGAAGGTATATTGCTTTCATGGCTTCAGGCATCAATTTGTTCAGCATTCTCTTTCTTGCTTCCTCATCTTTTGTTGTCAACAAGTGCTAACCAATATAAATAAAAAAATAATGTTAATTTAACTTTAAACTTTTCAAATTAAATAGGTGGCGAGTATGAAACCTTTTGTCAATGTGATCAAAATTTTATCAATCCATATCAAAATTTATCACTGCATTGCAAAATGCATCTATACTACATATAAAGGAAACACATCTATTAGTGTCTTGAGGCCTTTTTTCTCCTCCATGGAAAATGGATCTTTATATCCCCTAATATATCTATACTATTATTTTCTTTCATTCTGTAAATATTCATAGATGATCTGTAATAGGCTATATATCCATACTGCTTATTTCAGGTATACTCATGTGATTGTGCACATGTACTAATATATATATATATATATCATGATTCTCTCCATTCTATAGTTGTAATGAAAGATGTCCATTACTTAATAAATTACATCAAACAAGAGCTCTATGAGGCTTCACCACTAACAAAATGAAAGTGAACTATGTCCTGCAACATCATAGCATGTAATCCAGCTATTTCAATTTCAACAGATCTCAATATTTGTTGAAGTTCTCAATATCATATGTAGTAGTTTAAAAAACCCAAAAAAGTGCCCAGAATTTGTAATCAAAGACTGGGATTTACTCATACTGTGGCGCCACAATAACAAGGTCAAAATATACAACAGTGATTACAAAATCTGAGTCAGAAATTCTGGCTTGGTTTGCTTGACTTTTTGTTTCACATGTCAAGATTTGAATTAGGAAACAGGGCCAATTGAAGAGGGAAGTTAGTGTCATATGTTTGAAACTAGTTACTCAATTAAGCAAACAGTGGTTATGCACTGATAAAAAACAAAACAAGTGTTGGTCCTCAGTTAAGTAAACTAGTTACTTACATGGCAACTTGAAATGAATATGAATGATGTTCCTTGTTTTTGTGCCAGCAAGTGTTCTGCATACGCATCTATTACCTGTGTTGAAAACAAAAAACAAAACAAGGAATTAATATAAATCAAACACTAAAATGTTATTTTAATGAGTTACAAATTCAACTTACAATGCCTGCCAAATCTTGACCCTTCAATATTTTGTCAATGTCATTTAAGTAGACATAGGTTGCATGGTCAGCCCCTTGCCACATTGGTTGATCCCTGAAAAAAGGGTTATTAGTGTTGGAATAATAAATTTATTAATATTTTTGGAATATTTGATACTTATAAATTCAATACGAGTTAGTGATAAACAATCAGCAAAAGTGAACTACAGGAGTCAAGAGAGAAGATAGTTACTTTTTCTTTGTATTCGCCCAATGTGCAATGAGATTTTGGCTTGATTTTTTTGGTCAGATGTTGAAAATTTTGTTTGAAGTTTTCAATTTCTTCATTGCAAGTTGTTCTTGTGTGTGTTGTTCTTCCAAGTACTTGTTTGCCTCAGCCAAGGTTGCAGTTCTCTCATGGAGTATCTTGATTTCTTCATCTTTCCTTTGCATTTGATTTTTTGTAGTTTTCTGCTGATTTTGCATTTCTTTGTTCAGCTTCTTGAGTTGCTACTGCAGGTTATCATTTGCAGTTTGAAGGATGTCCCTTTCCATTTGTAACCTTTCCATTTTGAGCATATCGTCTTCTATCTTCTGAAAAACAAGTACTTCTACCAGATTTGGATCCACTTCAGGCTCTTTGTCCACTTTATTTCCTTCACTCTTTTGTGATTCAAAAGGTATTGTTTTCCTGTCATTTTCAGGGCATATTTTGTGTGGAATTAGTTCCCATGTTTCATGTTTGGATTTGTCTTGAATCAATGTTTGTTCTTCTTTTTCAGAATTTTCAGTCTGATTTTGTTGCTAAAAATCACCATTACCATCTTCATCTTCGTCTTCATCTTCATCTTTATCCTTAATTTCTCCTAGTAGCATTCAGTATATTTTTTTCTCTTCATCTGTGTACTTCAAATTGTTCTCCTACATAGATGAAAATTAAAAAAATGAATGATATGATACAAATTTCAGATATAAATTTTTCATAGTAAATTTTATCACTCAATTAGGAAAATTAAACAATCTATGATTGTTATAGCAAATTTTATCACTGAACTAGGCATAGTAAGCAAATCTGTCATTGTATAGCAAATTTTATCACTGAATTAGCACATGCAAGCAAATAAAGTAAACATAAGACAAAATGTCTAATTCAATTC